TTAGGGAAAGGCCCAGCTTAGGGTTAGGGTTGGGAAAACGACGCTTCCCAGTCATAGCAATCAAAAAACTTTGTTCATTTGGCCTCCTAGAACTTCGGGAGTATAAGAAAGCCGCAGTTGTTGTCTTCGGAAATGTTCCAATGTTATCTCATATCTCAGAATAGCTTCTTTCCTCTACAAATTCTGGGAACATGAACCTAACTTCAAGAACTCTGACTGGAGGAAACCACACCAAAACTTTGCCAAATGGACTGAGAATTAATGATCCCTCAATTTCCAGTATAACAGAGTTCACAAACTAGACTTCTCATTAATGTTCACATATGTATCAGCTGTCTTGCTACAGGCACCTTCATACTGCATCTAGCATTCCTTTTGCGTCTCCTTTTACAGCATTCTCTAGAACCTAGAAAATACAGTTTCTCTTCCTCCAGGTTTTGTAATGACTTCCACCATTACATAAATCAGGGGTCTCAACCTCGCGGCCCGTGGGCCAATTGCCTGGACGGGCAGGGCACCGGGGAGAGGCCCAGCGGCCTTCAAAGCGCCAGTGGCGCCCAGGCCGGCCACGGGATGAGCAGCCCACCACCACCGCGGTGGTGGAATACTTGATGCAGCCCAGCCTCACCCAGACTCTACTTCCAGCGGCCCCCAGGTAAGTTGAGTTTGAGACCCCTGGCATAAATGCTGTCACTTGTAGTTAATTCAGGACACCATCACACTTCAGGGACAGTGCCAAAATCAGTGCTTTGCCTGTAACTCTCCATAATGCATTGCATACATTTTTATGGGCATTTGGAGTCACATAATTTCTCTAAGTAATTCCAACAGATATTTTAGGCTACAAGGAGCTATGCAGATTTTGAGCTGCCATTTTGTGAGGAACCTCTAGTCTGTAAGAGTTTTTGAACTTAGTATCTTTAGCTTAACATTAAGAGTCTTCAACACATTTTGAAGGACAACCACCATCTCTTGAAAAGATAAATTCTAGTCACCACAATTATTATCAGAGAAGAGGGCTCTTAGCCATACTTTCACTTAAATGAAGTTTATGGAGGGAAGTTAATCTTATCCTTTCCTTGCAAAGCATCTTTTTTTGCTCTTTTCCTTCCTTCCATTTGGCTTTCTTTCTTATTTTCTCCAATCATCCCCATCTATTCTTCCTTCTTTCATAGCTTTTACCATTTTAAAAACATGGGAGGGGCTCATGCATTGGGAATGGGAGGCTGCACTAGCTTCTTGTGCAGTTGAAAAAAATAAACCCTGCAGGCAAATGTGTGGAGCTGGTATGGTAGTTAGAGTGTTGGACATGCAACATCTGCATTGCCGTCCCCACTTGGCCATGAAGTTGACTGGGTGACTTTGGGCTAGGTGCTTACACTCAGCCTAACCTCCCTTCAAAGAGTTAATGTTGTGAGGATGAAAATGGGGCTTACCAACTTTCTAAAGCAATACTGTATGGAAGAGCACAGGAAACAGAAAGCATGAGACACTGACATTCCCTGTCTCTTCCCTCCACCACCAGTACCACCACTACATGCCACTGATTTCAGTGATATCTTAAGCACCTGTTTCAAGGGGTCATAAAAACAGATCCATGTATGTTAGAAACAAGATTCACTCTTGTTTTAAGGCCAACATTCCAGAACCCTCAAAGGAATACTGCAAGAATATGTCCGTACCTTTTGTTGACAGCATCTAGCTGTGCTTGAAGAGAAGCCTTATGTTGTTCGACTACATCTTTGAGAGGTACTGTGGGGTGTTCTGCATGCTCTCCTTCTGTACATTCCTGGCACATGGCTGTCTCACAGGACTGACAGTAAAATTCCATCAGCTAATTCCAGAGAAGAAGAGAGGGGCTCTTGTTAGGGTACCAGTCTTTATAAACAAATAGTTCTGAATTCATGACTGAGATCCTAAACTCTTAGCAGTGTTGCCACAATTCCTTAAATCCAGATAATAAGAATGTTCCGCTGTTCTTACTACTAATGTTCTTACTACTAATAAGAAGTAGTGCCATCACAGTCATCTCTACTCTGAGGTAGGAGTGTCCAAAAAATACACAATGGACCCAAATGAACTTGAACTTCTAAGAATCCAGCCCTTGGATTCCACCATCTTTTCCCAAGACACATGGATTTGGCAGACTTGTGGACCATTTAAAAAATATGTAACCATATGCAAATCTACACATAGACAAGATTTAAGGAAACCAACAAAAAAGTTTATTTCCTCACAGACTTGTTTGTGAAAACCTGTACGTTGGGGAAATTTGTGCATTTTTAGAAGTGTGAATTTGCACAACTCCAAATTTGCACAATTGTATGAAATTCAATTCTGTCAACAGACAATGGAATGAAAAGTGCCTAACAACCTGCAAAACATAGAATAGATATTACAATGTCTGTCCATCCTTACTCTAAAGTAAGTTCCACTGAATTCAATGGGGCTTAAATCCAGTGTATTAAGTGGATATAGGCTGCTGCTTTGGGATATAACTATATTTATACTTACCTACTTATAATTCATATTTAACTCTGTAAAGTTTGTCACTGAGTAGCCATTCCTAGGATTGCACTGGTTCTGACCTACACCAGCAATGTTTCCATTTTAAATTCTGCAAACACCACATCAAAATGGTATAACATTATATTGTAAATACTTGTGTATGCAAATATATTCACTAAGTAGTCAACAAAATAGAGGCAATGCTTATGCTTTAACAACAGGACATGGTTTTATAGTTGTGATTCTTTAATGGAACATGTGGATAATTTTGCAAACACAAATAAATATAATTCTATATGGGGTGGACCAAACATAGCTCTGGATTTACTGGTAGATCTCAGGGGGATTTAAACTATATCAGCAGGAATGTCTAACTCCTAGCTGCCTAACAATAGCAGCAACAACATGATTTTCTCCTCCCCAGGAATGTTTTTTTGTGTTGAATTCTAAGTTAGTGGCATTTGCACCAAGCTCTAGCAGATGGAGCTTGAGGTTCAAGTAAAACACCAAGTAGTTCCTGTAAACCTGAAGTTTGGCTAGATATATTTCCCCTTCATTGTTCAATTTTAAACAAAATAGTCATTTCTTTGTGCTATTGGAGAATTAAGTTAAATGCCCAAAGTGTGATTCATTCTGAATTTTTTTTTTAAAAAACTGGAATGACATCAAGTTTGCAGGAAATGCCTGATTTGTGGCATTTACATATTCAATGGAAATTGCTTAGGCTGACATATAAATGTTTGCCAGAAAGAGAGAGCTGGCCAGTTTTTTTCAAACAAGGAAAAAGAACATTAAAAGAATTATACAAAAAGGCGTAGCAAAGCCAGGAAGCTTATTCAGATTAATAAATATAGAATCTATATTCATTTTTTTACAAAAGGCATTTTTTCTGTGATAACATCTTATCGCTATTCTGTGCCCTTAAAAATAAGACAGTAATAATTGAAGAAACTTCATCTTGTGGAAAACACGTTCTGGGTTTAACCCTTTATGTGTATCTTCCAGGGCAGTACCTTTAAGGTGCCCCTCACACTCACAGAGAGGGAGGGAGGGGAGGGCTTCTGCAGTATTATGGACCCATAACATTTCAGAATCTTGTGGCCCTGAGATGTAAAGGCACCTTACAAAGAACAAATTGCCTCTACTTGTTAAGATAGCACAGCCAAAATCCACCTATGCTGTAAAGAAAGTATATAAATTTTAGGAGGGCCTGATTTAACAAGTGTCAAAAGAGACTACACATAGCTCTGTATACCTGGATAAAAGGGGGAATTTTGACTCCCAATATTGAATGTACAGAGTATACAGATTTTTATGAAATCCATTCCACCTGTGTTTCAAGGACTCTCAAGTCTTTTATTCTGCCATTCACTTATTGATGGAATTCGATTTCTTAAAAGGGGTGTACAAGAATTTCATTTCACTTGCTCAACTGTGAACAAGAAGTAAAAACAAAGGCTGCACAACTTGAAAAAAGCTGGTCACCTGCTGAATTCACAGGTGGGATTCATAGAAATCCAGCCTCATTTGAAGCCATTGCTGATTTCTCCAACATCCCTAACTAATTCCAACTTGTTCTTTACATCATATTAAGCTGAGTGATGCATAAATAGAAGCAACATATATTAGGGGATGAAGGACAGAAAGACTTTTGCATGGTGTGATCACTTAGAGCCTTGTGTGTTATATGTAATTAACCTACTTTGTTATCTTTTCAACACCAGGAAAACATCTTTCTTTCCTCAAGTCATTTTGGAGACCTGTTTTTATACTTTTCTGACTGTTCTTACATATCTTGATCTCTTCCTATGCTGTTTGTAGTTGTGTACTGCATATTAATCTTTTGTTACACTGTAGTTTATATTTTTAACTGTTTGTATTGCATTTCAGTCTTAAAATGTTTGTATTCTACCCAGAGAACATTTGTTACTTGGTGGATTAAAAATAAAGTAAAATAGTTATTTAAGGTTGAAAAATATGGACTTGTGCTAAATATCCACAGAACTGTAATAGAGAAAGGGACAGGAAAAATGTGCTTTCGCTTCCAACTGCAACTTGAAACTCTTTTGATATGTTGTTTTACCTCCGACACACTTACAGAATTTTACTTGAGAAGCATTTGACATTATGAAAAGCTTTCCAACCATCTGAGGCAATGTTTGCAATGCTGTTAATATTACATAGACACATTCTGAAAGCAACACAGTGCTCACTGATATATCAACAGTGATGCTAACATGCCAGTTCAAGTGGAATAATGAAATAATTTAACCCATATGCTTCATTTATTCCCAAGGTCTCTTGTTAGCATATGTGCTTTATACATATTTTTAATCTCCTGGTGCCACTGATTAGCAAAACTGGAGAGCAGTGAAGCTGGGTGGTGCGAAGTTAATGCAAGTGGCATTACTTTGCATGCAGGAACTGACTTGCTGTCAGAAAAGAATGCCTCCTTATGTCAGACTAACAAATGACCTGATGGGAAGGGAATTGCTTTTCCTCTGTAGCATGGTTTGCTCGCTTTCTTGATCTGCAAAGCAAATACCTTCTGTAGTTTACTTGTTCCCCACAATTAAATGCACCATGATTCTAGATTGCATAGGTTGAGGACAGGAAAGGACTCAACAATTTTACTTGTGAAAGAGATGGACTTTGGGCCTTCCCATTAAACACACACATGAATTTATGAATGAAAGAAGGAAAGCAAAAACCATTCACCATCAAACCATGATCAGCTGCTTTCACTGCAATTAAACTGAATGCATAAAATGTCATTACTAAAGAACTGAACATTAACATAATGAGCTTATTAGCACTGAGCACACTACCAGCCACCTTGATTAAGTCCACAACATTTCACAACAATAAATACCCTGCACCATGAAGTTACAACCAAAAGTCTCAGTTTTGTGCTTGCTATAGATTCATCTGGTAGCTAACACAAATGCATCCTAATTCACTCTCTTTGCCTATGTAAATCTGCTAAATTCAAAACATATAACAAAATAAATAAATTCTAAATAGAATAAATTCTATAAATTCTAAATAAATTCTAGATAGAATAAATTCTATCAAGCTAATTCTTTTATGGGTGTAAATGATTGATAACTTGCAAACTCAATAGTCCCCAATTTCAATCTGGGAATTCACTTGCTTCAGGTAGAGCCATCTGCTCAGCACGAGAACATCCAGGAGCCTAGCCCACTTACATTGCCTTCATGATTGGGGCAGGAGAGAGGCTTCCCTGCAACAACAGCTGTGACAGTCTCCAAGATGGATGACTCTTCAATGCTATTGTCTGGACTTCGCTGCAGGACATCCATCAGGTTGGTGATGAAGAAGTTGTTCTGAAGAGCAGAAACCCCTTTCTCTGGTAGGATGGATGTCTGACGGCACACTGGGCAGGAGAGGGTTAAGCTGTGGGCCGGAATGTAATTCTGCAGGCACCTAAGGAGGATGGTAAAAATGTGGGCTGATATCAGAACTGAAAAGAACATAAAAGGGGCATGCTGTATCAGACGAAAGACTAATTTAGTTCAGCATGAGTGCAATAGCACCCTTTCCCTAAGGTTCAACACCAACCTATAACTGGAGGTAACATGCTAGTCTGACCAGTAGCCACTGCTTAATTTTATTTCCCTTTTAAAATCATCCAAGTTGATGGCCATCACTACATCTTGTGATAGCAAATTCAGTAGTTCTCTTGTGTACTATGTATTATGTGTGAAATACTTCCTTTTATCTGTCCTGAACTCCTCCCATTCACAGAGCCTTCTCCTCCTATCCTTTTGGAAAACTGGTGTTGCATTTGCCATTCCTCAGTCCTCTTGTACAAAGGCTAATATTAGGTACTTTTGCACATATTTGTTCAGCAATTTAACCTTTGAATTATTTAAAAACAGTAAAATGGATACCATCCGGGCCAGTGGTTTCTTAATTTTCAATTTGTTAATTAAGTTCTAGAACTTGATCTCTTGCCACCACCATTTGTCTCAGTTCTTCAGAATCATTTCCTTAAAATATAAGTATGTTTGTCTTCTGTATCTTCTAAGTATCTTATAAGAATCATATAAGATCATATAAGTATCTTCTGTAAGTCTTCCACACTGAAACAGGTAAAAAGAACTCATTTAGTTTCTCTGCAATTTCCTTGAATTCCATGCTTATCCAAGGGTTCAATTGCTTCCCTAGTCAGTTGTCTGCTTCTACTAAATTTAAAGAATTCTTATTGTTAGCCTTGATGTCACTAGCAATATATGCTTAGCTTTTTAAAAGAAATCTTAAATGATAGACGTCTGATTCCATTCTAGCTTAAGTGGAGCCAGAAATTTACACCATGATTACTAACAGGAGACAGTAGGGATCATTATTTAGCACAGTTTGATATTTGCATTGTGCAGCTCCTCTCAGAAGGGAGAACAAAGTTTCCTCCACCCATTCCAGAATTTAAACACTATTAGAAGTATCCTCTGACTTCCACACAAATAGAATGACATTGATATAGCGAGAGGAGAAAAGGAAGACAGACACCAGTTGAGGAGCTGGAAGAGAGAAACTGTAAGGTGAACTAAACCATACTTTACACTTGAAGTCAGTCAGAGCAATAACTTTTAGAGATCTGATACTGAAACAGTGATGTGAGTTTTCTGGAAATGCTTGAATTAGAAAATGTTTGCGATAATTTTCCAGAAAAACATCCAATGCAAATTCAGCTATTAGCATAGAAAAAATTCCAATCACATCAGGTCACTTCTATAGGTTCATTCCACAGAGAAATGTAGATTCACCTTGGAAAAAATCCCAATGCTCTAAGAGAGATGGGCAGTTTCAGTTCAGTTTCATTTGTCCCAGTGTTTTCCTCCTTCTCCTCAGGTAGAGGGGCTGTGGATCTGATTGGATTTGGTGGAAGCAGGCAGTGCCTCACCCCACCCTGCCCTCCTGCATGCACCCCCTCCCCAGCACCTGTGCCAAACATGATCCTCCATGTTCAGGGCCTCAGCGCACAGAAAGAATTGTGCCAGCTGAGAGTAAGTTGAGGTGCCCTTGGAAGGCAGAGTCTGGCTGTAAACTCAGAAAGCTTTTCCACAGTCACATTGTGTTCTCTACCTTTTCTTAAAGCCAGCAGACAGTGTCTGCTTGCCATAAGATTACACAATGATTTATTTTAACAAGCCAAAGAATTGCATACAAAATGAAGTATTGGATTTTTTTTCCTGCTCTGTAGCACCATAATGATACGAGAGAAACTTTATTTACTGTGTTCATTCTAACGGCCCAAGGTCATGTCTGGACAAAACAGAGTGAATGTTTCTGTTTTGTTTTGCTTTGTTCTGCAACCTGCTATGTAAAACATTGGAGGTTTTATTGGATATGTGTAATAATGGATACAATGGATGCACAGAAAAGACAATGATGTTGCCACCCTACCATCTTAAAAATACGTTTTATTAGGGAAAAAAGCATATGTCAACAAACTTGGTTTCTGCTCACATGAAATTTTTACAAGGGGTGCCTTATGGAGACAGCAACTTCAAGGAGCATACCCTGTCCCACACTTCTAATGCTTGACAAACCTGCTGCCTTGAAGACACAGGTGGAAGTGGTGGCTTATTGGAGAGACTGAGTAACATTGAAAGTGTCAATGCATGTAGGACTTAAAGGAAGGCTACGTAGATAAGAAAATTCCTGATGGATCACACGAAAGACACATCTAGTTCTATAGCACCCTCCTGAACATAATTCCCTAGGAACTGGTGTATTACATAGGCAAACTGCCTAGTAATTAGAACTAGTAACTGTTGCTAGCCTTATCCGCCATGAATTTGTCTAATCTCCTGGCAATACCATCCAAATTGGTGGCCATAACTACATCTTGAGGGAGTGAATTCAATAGTTTGACTATGCACTATGTGAAGCAGTAGTTTCTTTAACTTTTTTCAACTCTTCTACCAATCACTTCATAGAATGACCCTAGCTTCTAACAGTGCGTGAGAGGGAAAGAAATGATTCCATATCTACTTCTTCCACACCATGCATAGTTTTGCACACTTCTATCATGTCTCCTTAAGCTGAACAATCCCAAAGGTTGTAATCTTCCTTCACAGGGGAGTTGTTTCAACCTCTTGTTCACTGAGTTGCCCCTTTCTCCTCTTCAAAATCTATAACATCCTTTCTAGATGCAATGACCAGAACTGTACAAAGTACTTTTAGTGTTGTTGCACCATATATCAGCCCAACAGAATATGCATCTCTTATCTGCTTGCACCCCCTTTGTGCAAGCTTGTTCTGTCATTTCCTCATTTAGACAAGGCTCCCATTTTCTGATGCAAGACTTTCTTGACCTGTTCATTAACCCTGCTGGTGACCTCTTGGACTTGGAGCTACCTTCTCTGATCTGTGGTATACATTCTAGCTAAGCTTCTATTCCTGATCTAATTTTAATTAATTAATTTAATTTAATATGGTGTTGACTAACTCTCAGGCATTCTGAAGGGCTTTCCCTTTCAACTTCCTGTGTACCAGTTTCCTCATTTTAGAGACATATCTTCTTCTGAAGTCAAATGTGACTATGTTGAATTTCCTTAGCCATTTTCTGCTCAAAAATATACTAACTCCAATAGTGCTGTGGTCCCTGTTCCCAACTGGTTCAAAAACACGTTTAGTACTAGGTCCTGAGTCCTATTCTGTTTGGTGGCAGCTATCCAGAATTTCAGATAGAGGGATTTCTTATCAGTCTGAATCTTTTAACTGAAAGCATCTCAGATTGAACCTGTGAGCTACTTACTGCATGCTAAGTCATGTGCTCTATGACACAATGCATCTATATCAAACAAGAAATGTCCTGGTCTTATTCTTTCATCTTAGTGAGTAAAAGGTTATTATGCATGATCTTCAGCCAATCATGGCCCATAACATGGCTCACAGTGCTTTAGGGCCCTTCTCATTGCATCCTCCTGTGGTGAGGCAATCACACACATTTGTCACCACTGGCTGCATTTAGTCCAACTTTGGCTTTTGGCCACCCCTAGAAAGGTTGAGCATTTGCACTGGAATGCCAAAAGTAGACGCCGGAGTAATTCAGCCCATGGCAACAGATGCGTATAACTATCTTTCCACTTGAATTGGCTTCTAAAATGATACATCAAGAGGGAGGGAAGGAGAGAGAAACAGCTTTCTAAATATCATAGGAAAGATATATTGCGTTGTTAGCAGTACTGCATTCAAATGAACTGTACGGATGCACACACACAGAGGGAGAAGGGGGAAAAGTTGACTGTGCAACAGAGAAGACAGTCTTACAAAATAAAAATAAGGGCTCCAGAACAAGGCAGTGCTGTAGAAACAGTGAGAAGATCAGATCCACATTCTGAGAAATCTGCAGCAACCTTCTAATGATGTAATTTCTAGGTACTCTCTTCCTGGTATGGAAATACAGTGCACGAAAAAATGCCCTGTTAAATTTCTGTATATATTACAGTGGTTAAAAGCACAGAAGCTTCACCAGAATGAAAGAGGTCTGCAGTACTTCCAGACATTTACAGAAGCCTTACTTCTGATAATAAATCCTTCATTTACTACTAAACTTTATGTGCTAAAATTTTACTCTTCAATTCTGAACTTCCTGGTCATGTTGATGAATTGTACTACCAAGTTAAAATGTGCTTAGATTTTCAGCCTATATTCTGTTCAATAAGCCAGGAAGAAATTACTCTTCTGTCTTATATTTCATATAAATACATTGATAACAGCAGGAAGGGAAGGGAAGGGAAGGGAAGGGAAGGGAAGGGAAGGGAAGGGAAGGGAAGGTCACAATAAGAACAGAACCGAAAGAGCACAGTGAAATTCTAGAGTACATTTGCCATTTACATGTTTTTCTCTCTTCTTTGATGGTTTAAAAGCTAAAGGTTATTTTATCCTTTGATAGGTTAAGCTTAATTAACTATTTGGTTAAATAGGTCAAGACAACATTTTGACAGCACTGGAAGTACATTGTTAATTAAATGCAACTGGACACTTCTGTGGAAGCTGATCACTGTAGTAGACCAGACCAGTGTTCTTGGTCCCGTTGACTGAGATTCCCAGCATCTTCTACCAGCATATAGGAGCACTGGGGGTCACAGTCCAACAAATCTGGAGGGTACCCAGTTGGGGACAGCTGGCCTAGACAGACCAAGCAATTGAAAATATTTGTGAAAATAATGCTTACCTCTCACAGAAAGTGTGCAGGCAGGGAAGTACTTTAGGATTCTTGTAACGGTCCAGGCATATGCTGCAGATCAGAAATTGCTTGTCGATCTGACGCACCACAGGACTTGGGATATTGGAGCCTTCACTGGCCATCCTAGAGCACTGACATGGGGGTCCTGTTCCTTTTTACCTGGCACGCTGCTAAAATGTTTAAACAGACAATGAAGCTTTAGAAATAAGCAACAGTTTCCTGCAAACACTTAACCTTAGATCCAAGAGACATGTTACTTTAAAGAATTCCCCACCAGTCCTTTTTCTGTTTTGCTCTAGAATAAATGCAGGGGGATAAAGCCACTTATCCTATCATGAGGGATAAGGTTGTTTTAAATTCCTTTCTATCTACCCCATCCAGCTGCAGGTCCAATCTAGATCAGCATCCCCACACCTGTGATATTGATTTATTCATAAAGCAAATGTACCACTTGCTATAACAACTGCTGTAAGTGTTTTTACCATTATTTTACTAACTAAAAACATTATAATGAAAAGGATGTCCAAGATTTTTTTTATGTATGTATGTATGTGAAAGGCAGAGTACAGTGCCTGGAAATAATACACTTCAAAGCCTTGTTTAAAAACCCCCTGGGCAGATGTTGAGAACAGCCATATTAGAGTATCTATACTAGTTCACAAGATCACAATAAATGTGCCGTGTTTGAGATCTCCAGGACTTTTTACCAGGCAAGATATTAAATAAAAGAGGTTTGGGTGGGGGTACAGGAGTGAGAAATGGGAGAGGGGAAAAATCTGACCTGACGGTAAAATCACATGTTCAGAGCCCCATGGAGGAGGGGTCTGCGGACATTCAAATAGATCTCTCCATGCCATTTTATGGTTACAGATTGAACCTGCTACTGTGGCTAGGATTGCTGGGAAACTGAAGGAAAATGCATTGGATCTCATATTTGGTAATTCCACAGGGACTCAGATATGATTCCATATGGTTTGAAGCACACTGGTCCCTTTTACACAAGGATCAGGGACAAAAACAAGGCAAGTGACTTGCTGGAGATGTTTTTAGATGTTGATTTAGATGTTATAATTTTAATTTTAGATTTCTTGAAACTCAACATTAAAAAAAACTAAGATCATGGCATCTGGTCCTATCACTTCCTGGCAAATAGATGGGGAAGAAATGGAGGTAGTGACTGATTTTATTTTCTTGGACTCCAAGAACACAGCAGACGGGGACTGCAGCCAAGAAATTAAAAGACGCTTGCTCCTTGGGAGAAAAGCTATGGCAAATCTAGACAGCATACTAAAAAGCAGAGACATCACCCTGCCAACAAAAGTGTGTATAGTCAAGGCTATGGTTTTCCCAGTTGCAATGTACAGCCATGAAATCTGGACCATAAGGAAGGCTGAACGCCGAAGAACTGAGGCCTTTGAATTGTAGTGCTGGAGAAGACTCCTGGGAGTCCCTTAGACTGCAAAGAGATCAAACAAGTCAGTCTTAAAGGAAATCAACTCTGACTGCTCTTTAGAGGGCCAGATACTGAAGATGAAACTCATGAATACTTTGGCCATTTATTGAGAAGTAACAACTCACTGGAGAAGACCCTGATGCTGGGAACAATTGATGGCAAAAGGAGAAGGGAACAGCAGAGGATGAGGTGGCTAGATGGAGTCTCTGGGGCAGTGGGTGTGGGCTTGGGTGGACTCTGAGGGATAGTGGAGGACAGGAGAACCTGGAGAACTGTTGTCCATGGGGTTGTGATGGGTTGAGCATGACTTTGCAACTAAACAATAACAAAAAAGTCAACCAAAGCTAATTGGCTAGCTAATTTACCTAGTATTTGAGGTGACCTTTTAGAGAATAAATACTGCCATTCTACAGTGGTTCTCCCTACACTGGAAGAAGTGGATTTTTATCCCACCTAGATCTGGGACTTCATTCAGGACTGGTCAATTTCTATTCTGACTGCCTGTGGATCTTTGTGCTATTGGGAGATTTTGAATAAATAAATGAATAAATAAATCTCCAGGGTTCCACACAGATGTCTTTTCCAGTTCTAGCTAGAGAAGCATATGGTTGAACTTGGAATGTTTTGGTACAACCCTTGCACATTCTTAGTCTCAAGCAATACACACAGCAGCCAAATCATGTGTTTAAACTTTACAACTTCACATATAAATGTGCGGAAATCTCCACACACCTGCTGCTTCCCCCATCACAGCCTGTCCCTCATAAAGTCTTTATCCAGCAGAGCATACTTCCATTATTAGAGCTTGGCTTAGGACAAAAATGTTTTGCAGAGACAGTGAAGGATTAGTGTCCCTCCTCCATACACCCGCACTTCCTCTCCGGCTCTCAATATTAGATCTCATCCCTACTTTCTGGCAGGGTTCAGATGATCGTAAGAAAAAGCAGCCACAGTGGCTTCATCCAGAGCTGGCCTGTATGTGACTAGTGGAAAATCAGGTTTAAACAAATGCATCTGTTGCTCACAAATGTTCTTTGCTCCTGGCACACAGAAATTAAGAAGATAAACCCTTTCCCTGCTGGAATAATTGATGGGAAATGCTTCAGAATGAATTCTAGTAGGCAAGATACTCTAATGAAATGAAGAGGAGAGGAGAGGAGGCCTATGGAAATAATGGACAGCCAGGGTTGCAGCATGCTTTTCACGGCAAGATGCTACAGGAGCACGGGTAACTGTAGCACAACTCACTCTCTTCAGAAGAGGCTCAACAGCATGTGGACATGTGCTACCACCAATGCTCATGAATAGAGAGTGCAAGAGGAAGTTTCGAGAAAGGTGTGGCTGAGTAATTAAGTTACCTGAATAAAGGCACAATGTTATGCATGCTTAAACAGAGAAGACTCTTATAACTCCAAGCATGCCCCAGCCAGCAGTGCATAATCAAGATAGGTTGGAGCATGTCCATGCATGGCCTGGTGAAGTCTCAGAAGCCAAAGGAGTTGGTGAATTGATTTCTGCTGGTCGGGGCATAGGGCTTCAGTGCCCCATTTAAGTGCTTGCTTAGACCCACCCTAAACAATTGAAATTAAACAAAGGATGCATCATATATAGAAGTTACCTTACCACATCATTTCATAAAGCATAAAACACACACATCCCTATATTAACTAGTGTGAGATGATGGTTAAAGTGGAGAGACCCAGGTTCAAATCTCCATTCAGCAGTAAAGCTCTCAGGGTCAGTCGCCATCTCTTCATCAAACCTACTTCATAGGACTGGCACAACGACAGAATAAATGTGGATCAAGTCTGCCATACTGAGTTCCTTGGAAAAAGGGCAAGGTAGAAAAAGAAGGCATAATATGTGGCCCACCTGGCTATGAGACTTCCCCCAACAGAGATTTGGCTGGACTCCACATTCAAGAGCAAGTTAAAGATGTATTTGAACAGACTTTGGGGATACAGACACACTTTTTTCATTTAGTGGTAGTGTGGATAGTTTTATTAAGACTTAAGCCTAAACAACTTGAGGCTAGGTTACCTGGAGGATTATGTCTCCGCACTTCTCTGCCTATATGATCCCATGCCAAGGGAAGTCACCTAGATGACTACTAAAAATATATTCTTTTCTGTTGTGGCACCCCAGCTATAGCATGGACTAGCCAGTCAGGCTCACCTAGATTCTACATCATGTTCCTTCTAATGCTTCTTATTTTCCCAAGAATCCTGTATTTTAAAAATCCTGTATTGTATATTAGATCCTTGTGCTGCTGTCTAAGGAAATAGGGCTAGGTCTTTCTCTAGTTCTTACTTCTATTTTATACTATACTTTCAACCATTAAACTTTTAATACTGTAGTTAGCATTTTAAAATTATTTTAAACCATTGTGAACTGCCCAGAGAGCTCTGGCTATTGGGTGATATAAAATGTAATAAACAAACAAACAAACAAACAAACAAGAAATGTTCCGTATTTGTGATTTTGGAGTCAAAGTTGTAATACTGATAATATGATACACTGTGTTTTAGAGAGATTGTTAGCCACCTTGGTTCTTTGCAAAGAAGTGCTCCCTTCAGGGCTAAATCAGGGAAGGATAAAGGTGCAAGGAGGAGAAGCCTGCTAGCCCCGCCCACCCCATCATCACCCCATTGCCCTCCACAGTGGAATGCAACTTTGTAAAGGACACAGCCTCCTCCATCCATGGGGGTCTCCACACAAGCCAGCCAGCTGGATTGTGTGGAAAGGCACCGTGGCTGCTGGAGTTTCCACATGGAGAGGGCGATGGATGAGATGCCAAAGGGCTAGGGCTAGCATCCTGATTTTTCCTTCACAGGCCACAGCCTCAACTTTCTGTTTTGATTTCCTAAGTAATGCTTCAGTAGTAAATGTAACATTGTTTTACTGCTGTTGTTATTAGTACTGGGCCTCCTATTCTGTTACAGTTGGAAATTGTGAATGTTTTGGCATCCAGGGTGCCAAGTCAGACTAGATTCAAGTACATCACTCTAAATGTCTATAAAAGAAAGAAGAGACAAATGAGTTGAACTATTGTCTTTTTTTTTTGCTAAGCATTATGAACTATGCAGTTCTTAAAGCTGCCATGCCTAGTCCCACTGTGTAGTCCTATCTGATACATTTTTAAAAAACAATTTTGACATTTAATGGAACTTACTTCCAAGTAAAAGTGCACAAGACTGCACAAAGGGATTTGCTGAAGCCACATGGTTTATGCATTCAAATTATCCTTCAATCTACAGTTTGGTGGAATGAGCCATGGCTCTTGAACACTCCCTTCTCATCTCACACATGTAGCTTAAGAGATTGTTTCCTAAGCTAATCAAACCATGGTGTGTCACTTTACAGGAACTGGAAAACAAAGGTGTGAGCAGGCCCTGATCTGGAAGATCATCTCAGCACTGCCAGTAAATCTATGAAACAGTTAACACTTGTACCCACGTCTCCCTCTTTGCAGTCTTTCTATTGTCTGCACCACATTGGCTCCTTGTTTATAGTTAAAGTTAACCAGCAGAGCAAATATGTTCAGAGACTTCATTATTCAGGATGGGTAACAGTTTTCTAGTTACCTAGAAAACATATTTATATAATTTCATATACTATCATAGTAGAATAAATCTGGGCTTATAGAGCTATGGAATAAAAAAGGGTTAAGCAAACTGCTAAAATTCAGTACAAAGCTGTAAACAGTAGTAGTTATAT